CAAATCATTCTTGTTTTTACGGCGATAATTAAACGAGAAACACAAAAGTGACCTAATTACTGTAATTACAAGGACGAATATAATATTTTATCCTTAAAAAAGTTATTTGCGTTTAAAATAAAATAGTTTGTATAATGCTTCAAAAATAAAACATTAACCCATTACTCACCTTTGTCTTTAAATAATTTATATAATATATACATATGTACAAACAAATACGCAGCAAATATTGTATAAAGCCATCTAATGTGAGTTTTTATTGAAAAAAAAATGTATGAGAAAACGATGAAATCCAAACAAATTCAAATATACAGATGATGATCAAACATACACACACAAAAGAGAAGACGTGATCTGTTGTAGAAAAGGGGTGAAAGTACTATTTAAACGAAAATAAAAGTAAAACAATAAATATATAGAAAATAAAAAAAAAAACAAAAATTATCCAGGATCCACTTGAAAAATAGTGTTAATGTGATTCTAAGAGGGAAGGCATCAAGTAAATACTTCAATCCCAACTACAGAGAGTGCTGCCAGCTTCGGAAAACTTCTTTTCTGATTGTTCATTACTGTCTAGGAGATGTAACAGGTTCCAATAACACAAAAAAGAACAATAAACAAAAGTAATTGTAATAATAATAAACAAAGAAAAAAACGCAGCATTTCAAATACAAGAAGCAGAATGATAACGGTTGTAGAATAAAAAGCGTACAAAGGGATGTAGAACGAGATAGAACAAGTACTTTTTATAACGATTACACGATTACACGAGTGGTTACTTCATTATGTAAGAATTTCTTTGAGAAACAGTAATCTTTGAAAAATTGTTACAAACAAATATTTTTTTTAACTAAGTTTACTAAAAAATAATATTTTTATTTAATTGTAGTATTAAAAACAAAAACAAATACCTCGTATAATGCGGTTTCGATCAGCACGGATTCACTATAATTTGATTTTTTTCGATACAAACTAAATTTTAATTGAGTAAAATAAAAATAAATTCTAAAAAAACAATAAATTATTTCTTTTATATACAAATAATGATCGTTTTTTTTTGTTCCTGTATTTACTTTTAGTTCCTCGATTAATCCGGTTTTTAAATATTCCGGTACTATACAAGGTATTGCTGTGTTTATAGAAAATCTATTGATTTATCTTAATGTAATATACATTTTAAACTTAATGTAATTCTTGTACAATCTATTGAAATTTGTTGATTACTTTGATAAATGAAGTTATTTTTTGTATGACAAATATTTCATAAATACAACAAAAAAAAATACTACAACATTGTACATACATGTTCCGAAATATTGTTTTCGAGCATTTCTCGTTTCGTCACATTTCTCTATTACAAGTCTGGTTGTGTTTTTCGTTTTTGTACTTTCATTAACGGTCGAATGTAAATGCAAATATCACATCGCAAAACACATGCATTTTTTTTTCACGAAACTGCGTGTTATTCAATTGCAACTTTGAATAGCAAAATATGCGATCAAAAACATTACATTGACTTTTTTGGTTACATCACAATTTTTTTTGAATAATTCATCAATTCTGATATAAGAGTTTTTGTAAAATATATCTTGTAACAATATTTCAGGAATTTATTGCAAAACGGAAACAACTTTAATGTCTATAAAATGTAAAACACTCGCATATTTCAATATGATGTACGATTTTTTTAATATTACATTACAATTATGTTATGTAATTAATATTTTCTAGTTTTTGTAGAGTAATCATTGAAAGTCTGTAATTAATTTTGCAAAGCGATATTTTCATTCATTATTATTGTAATATTTGTAGAAAATTATATACTTTTTTTCTATGATATTTAATTAAATCTTTCAATACCAAAAAAAAAAGAGTTAAAAATAGATTTTTCAACATGATTACTTAACTATCAAAACAGTTATGAAAAGTATTTAATTGTTATTAAAATGTCTAGAAATGTAAAAAAAAGATAATTTTGAATAGTAATGTTACTATTCTTTTAGAAAATTGAATATTTAGAGTTTACAAAAAGTTCATGCATTCAAAGCGTTTACTTCATTTTACAAAGATTTGTACATTCTTATTTTTTGTCTAACTGCAAGTTCTTATATAAAAAATTTAATGTCTTCAAAATGAATGTTCTTGATTTTAATATTTACAAAAACTGTTCATTAAAAACGTTTACTCATTTACGATTTATGAAACGTTCCTTGCGAATCTGCAAGTTATTGAATTAAAAAAATGCGAAGTCAAGAAAATGTAAAACAAAATCATAATTTTGCTTCTTTAGTTTTACTATTTTATTATAAAATTGAATATTCCTGCTTTTAGAGTTCACATAAGTATTTATCCCAAGCGTACCTAATTTTTGCTAACTTCAAGTTATTTCAATGTCTACAAATGTAAAAAAGAATAATAATTTTGCATTGAAATTTTACTATTCTATTAGAAAATTCCTAATTTGAAAGTTTATAGAAAGTGTTCATTCAATGTATTTACTTAACTTTAAAAAGTATTATGAAAAGTTCCTAATTTTTGTGAAGTGTAAAAGAAATATAAAAATTTCAAGTTTTCTTGAGATATTCAAATGGTTATTTAAAGTTAAGGGTTATTCTCATTGAGTGATTTTTATATTACTGTTCTTGTTTCATAAATGAAGGAACCACCGTTGATAGAAAAAATATGGAAGAAAGGCATGTAGAAAAGCTGACAACTGATGTGATTTTCTTTTTCAAACTTTTGCAATAAATCTCTTCGTTCGTGTACGCAAACGGGTATTGGGTGTATAATACAGTAAGTATATAATACAATAAGTATGTATAAAGAGAGAGAGAAAAGAAATAGAGACAAAAACAAAAAATAAATAAATTGATAATTTGATATTGGTAATGTAAAACAAAAGTACTGATTTGCCAAGTGTTCTGAGGCGGCGGCACTTACTATGAAGTAGGGGAGATTCGGGGATGGTAGTATGCTAGGTGCCATCTGCTCGGTGAAGCAGAGCGAATTGGCACCCGCATTCCCTTGACTCCCTCGTCCTTCTGGGGAACCGGAAACAAGCGTCCCAGATTATGCAGCATCCCTCCTAGTAACACATAACAATTATCTTACGGCACACACTTCCTCAGCGCGTTGAACTATTATTATTATTTTTTTTTTTTTCAAACGTTGGCATGCTTTTGTGGATGATGGATCGCAACGAACATTATTATTCAATTATATAATTCCTAAAGATCTGTTCAGTATTTTCTGTATGATCGTTACTCAAATAAACCCCCAAAATACAACAACAAACAAACACAACAAAATTATAAATAAAAGAATAAAAACGCACCACTTCAACAAAAAAAAACTTATTTGTAAATACTACCAACAAATCAAAAAATAAATAACAAAAAAAAAATACTGCACCTCATCGAATGTAAAGAATGAAGAGATGAAGATTCGATTATGTCAAGAACTCTTGAATTAAGTGAATTTACATAGAGTTCTATGTAAATCGATGAATGGCCATCAATTTAACATATTTTTTATAATAAAAATCAAAGCCAAAGTTCCAGGAAAATTATTGAAAACAATTTATTCGATAGAATTTTGATCGAAAGAAAATTTGTTCGAATGGAATTATCTTCAAAAGGAAGTTTGTTAGAATGGAATTTTCATGGAAAGAAATTTATTTGAATGAAATTTTGTTTGAAAGGAAGTTTGTTCGAATGGAATTTCGATCTAGAGAAATTTGTTCGAATGGAAGTTTGTTGAAAAAGGAATTTGATCGAAAGGAAATTTGTTCCAATGGAATTTCGATCGAGAGAAATTTGTTCGAATGAAAGTTTGTTCAAATGGGAAATTGTTTGAAAGAAAATTTGTTCGAATGGTGTTTTCTTCGAAAGGAAGTTTGTTCGAATGGAATTTCGATCAAGAGAAATTTGTTCGAATGAAAGTTTCTTCAAATGGGAAATTGTTCGAAAGGAAATTTGTTCGAATGGTGTTTTCGTCAAAAGGAAGTTTTTTCGAATGGAATTTCGATCAAGAGAAATTTGTTCGAATGAAAGTTTGTTCAAATGGGAAATTGTTCGAAAGGAAATTTGTTAGAATGGAATTTTGTTCGATAAGAAATTTGTTCGAATGGAATTTTCTTCGAAAGGAAATTTGTTCGAACGATATTTTGTTTCTTTCGTATAAATTTCTTTCGAAACAAATTGTTTTTGATCAATTTTCCGGACAAACAAAGTAAAAAAGCTCAATTTGTACGGCAGATTAGTATAAATTCCACTCAAAATCAAACGTGATTTTGCGAAAGCATTAAACAAGTAATAAACACGTCTTTGGAAACGCACATCTAATATGATTTACTTTGTACAAAGCTTTACCTAATTAGTCTTGTATTTATCAAATGAAGACATGTTTGTTACAACATTGATTAAAGCCAAGTAAATCGTCGTATGTCTACAATCAAAGTCGGAGAAAGCTGCCGGAGGGCATTTGTCAATTGACAATCGAAGCATCATAAGCGCATTATCACCGCTACACTAACAAAACAAAAAAATATAAAGCGTAGAAGCATAATAATTCCTTCATCCTCTATTGATTCCTAAAGAAATATTGTACTAAATTTGGATAGGCTGGGGAGAACGAACGGTTATTGATGATGATCATTATTGGAGACGGGCCTCAATGAAAACCTTTTCCGGTTTCCTCGTAAGTTCTTAAAGAAAGCTCAAGTAATAACCTCTCAGAAAATGAGATCCATTTATTACCATCATCAATTTAATGGATTTCCATTTGCTTCCTCAATGTTATCTTTAATGAGGTAATAACAGTAGGAAATACAAGTTAAAATAATTTACTTTGTATTGATTTGTTAAACATTTAATTGTTAATATTGAAATGTATGTTAGATTATAGAGACGATGATGCAATGGAAGTTTGTTAGATGTTATCGGAGATGCAAGGCTCTAAGATAATCTAAGAGCTTCTGCTTCTATGTGGGAAAATCTTACGTGGCTAAGAATCCGAGCTTCGTTCCGAAAGGGAAACTGTGTCGAGTTCATCCTCGGTAAATGATCTGTTCGGGGAGCCTACCTTAGCAAGTCGTAAGGCAAACAAGGTTCACAATTAGTGTCAACTAAACGAGATGTTAATGTATTTACAGCGTACTGAATTTCGAAAATGCGAAAGCTCTATGAAATCTTATTATACAATATAAACCCGGAAAACATGAAGACTGTGAGAGTATTAAGATGGGCTCGAACATTGTTTGTTCTTCGCCAAGATTTGCATTTCGTTAAAAGTCCTTGGAGAAACTTTTTAATTCTCCTATAATTAACTTTGCGTCGATGCCTTGAAAGCTAAAAGGACTGAAGAAAAGTCCATTCAGTTTTGTTTTTCTTCTAAACTTGATATTTCCTCTTCCAAAGACCATAGCGTGTCCGTATCATTATTTATACCCATGGAATTTACGTGAATTCACTTATTCATGGATTTATCCCTATTCCACGCCATCCGCTCATAAATAACCCAAAATCTGTTACTTCCTCCTATTTCCTTGAGCTTTTGATTTCTTTAAAATAATAATGAACACTTTTGCATGGTTAAATACCATCACGAAGAGGTTCTTTCAGGAATGTTACGTGACTGAAATAATATTTGTGGCGAAAATCCCCATATTTTGTAATATTTTCTCTGTAATATTTCGCGGCGTTAATAATCGTTCGTCATGCAAATCAAAAAATTTTCATGAACGTCGACGTTTATTAAAATTTATGCAACGCCAGAGTATCTTCGGTTAAAAGGAAAAGGAAGGGGATTCCCCCCACTTGGGATTCCTTCCTGCCATGAATATCAAGTCCACCTTCGTCAAAATTACATTCCGGCATTCAACTCAAAAAAGCATGAATATTTCATGTAGATATTGCAAAATTTTAATAATTTCTTTAACTCACTAATCTTCTATCTTTTATATAATTACATTATGCTAACTTCTATTATAATATTTTATTGAGAAATTTTAGAAAAAAAATAATCCCATTAATTATGTAAGAAAATAAAAAAAAAATATTAAAAAAAAACTTCTAATTGCACTCGATCGAAAGCCATGCCATCAATTATAAAATAATATGTAGAAATAAATAAAAAATAATAAGAAAAAAAATTAGTTATGAAAAATGTTAATTCCAAATTTCGTAAAAAATGAATAAAAATTAAATTAGAAATGAAAAAAATTAAAATTAAAAAAAATATATTTAGAAGCGTTAGATGAGTTAGCAATATATAAAACTTATGGTGATAATCGTTAATATTAAACGTAATTAAATTATTATTATTATGTGTAGTTCATACCTCGTAACTGGGGACATTTTTCGTTTCTAAGTTGTCCGGAATCTGAGAACAAGGAAACATTCCTGGTAACATCTTATAAGTTATCTCATTCTCTCCTAATTAAAGACTATGAAAGCGCATCGAACGGGATTCGAAGAAGAATAATGATTAGAGCACGAGAGAAAGAATAGTGTTCAAAGAACAGAAACAGTTGATGGTTTCGAGATAGAATGAAATAAGTAATAAGAAAAAAGAAAATATAAACGTGTGTTGAAAATATTTTTTTTGTGGATGATTTTTTTGGAAGAAAATACTGATTTCATCATGTGCTTATATAATTATTAAATTAATTTAGTATATAGAAATATTTTAAGTGTATTTAATAAAGTTGTCATGTAATACATACCGTTTTTTTATAATTAACTCCAAAAAAAATTTTTTATAAGGGAAATTTATAATTTTGACAAAATTGGATTTATTCTTTTTGGATTTAAAACTCGTACATTTTCTTGAAAAATTATAATATAACAATAATTTATTTGTATTGTAAATTGATGATTTCGATTATATTGATGTATTATATTCAGAAATAAATTGTTGTATGATTATTTATTTTGTATGTTTATACATTGAGTATTGGTAATTTCTAAGGTGTTTTTCCGGGTTTCCTTAATGGCCAAGTCATGAAGTATGTAGACCAGGTCTCTTGTGCCTATAGAACAGCTAACTACCTCCGATTTCCAATATCAGATAAACGGTTGGATTGTTCAATACGAAGCCCCATCCAACGCACGTACATGCATAGAGGTACAGTTACAAATACACACATTTGAATAATGACCCGAGTGTAAATAAATTACGCCGCATTGATGGCTTAATTGCATTCGCATTTCTAATTCGAGCACAATTGCGGCGTTAGTTTAGCTGATGTATGCTCGCAAATTGTGTAATCCCATAATACGCATTTCAACGCACCATAATTAAGTAGTTTATTTTATCTGTTCATTATTATTTCTTTATTAGCTGTACCATTCTGAAGTAATTGTTTTTCTTTTTAAATAATAATTGAGTATAAAAACTAACCTAATGAGAAAGGTTTAAGATTTTGGAGAGAAGCCTAGGTTGAACCACTAATGTATTTGATCTTTGACCTGTATAGTAACTAATCAGTGTTTCTGATGTTATGTTAAATCGCGTTAAATGTTTAATAAATCACGAAATGACAGCTGACACTTACACCTAATTGACATTCAGAATTAATTGATTTTTGTTTATAATAATTAGATGTAAAAAGTATAGGTGAGTGCTTAATAATTTAGAGAGTATCTTAGGTAGGACACCTAACGTAATTTAACCTTTGGTAACTAATAAAGATTATCTAAGTTAGTGATTCTCAACTTTTAGTTAGTGTTTAATGTTTAATGATTCTTGAAATGACAGCTGTCACCTAATGTCAAAGTGTCAAAAAATATGTTATAAATAATTGGGATGCAGTACAATTAAAATGTTGATTATTTAATAGGTTGCGAAATGACAGCTGTCAATAACTACAAACAAAAATGTTGGGTCGCACTGAATTTAAATGCAACTTCTATAAGAAAGCATATCAGTTAATGAGCAGTTAAAAACTTTATTGGTTTACTATAAAATTGATAGTCCTTAAGTAGAAAATAGCAAAATATGTCCTTATAAAGCTACTACTTATTTATCTACTATTTCTTATAATTGTTTTAATAATATAATTGAAAATTAGAGCTATTTTAAACTTTCTTTCAATTAATTGTAAAAGTTGCCTTGTTTGGACCACTCGCAGTTGCCTTAATTGCGCCAGTCTCATATGTTAGTTGTACTAATAAATAGTGTATTCCAATACTAAAGATAAAATATAAAAAAAATGTAAAATCATGAAATTTTAAACAATGAAAGAGATAATAATAATGACTACATTTTTGAAAAAAGTAACAATTACTTAAATTCCACTTAAAAAATTGAAATTAAGCGAGTGGTCCATTCTAGGAAACTAGTTATATTTTTCAGTAAAATATGAATATGGGGATACCTTACTATTCAATTATAAGGAAGAAAACTAAATTAAGGTAGTGTTCCAATCTAGGAATTTCACGCGTTTTTACTATTCTCATTAGCATTTTTGATAGGTGCTATCTCAACTTCTTTCCGTTTTAATACTCCAATTTTAAATAAAATATAATAAAAGATTTTTTTTTATAAATTAAAAAAATCACCAAACCTGTAGCATTCAATTTAGTATATGTTACATTCATATTGAAATGCAAATTTTATAATTTATTAGTTAAATGTTAAAACCAACGTTAATATTCTATTAAAAAAATGCATTTTGCATGCATCTAATTAATGTTAATCCAATGACAGATATTAATTCGATCTGGGATGTTTTAATTTTGTATATCAAAATATTAGATTAATTAATATATAGGTCGGGGGTCGTTGGGGGTTGCGCATTTTAAATGTGACCTGTAACAAAATTACGGATTGAATTAAAAATCTATACACGTTCAGATTGTTGCAACACAAAACTGTCTAGACATATCTGGCACACATTACCTATTCAACACCCGGACGACACAGGCAGATAAAACAGATCTACGTCACTACGAACGGGACAAACAAAAAGATTGCTCATTTTCCAGCACTAAAAACCACAACCGAGTATATACAGTTCATATCCTTTATACAATATATATACAAACATAGTATAAAACTAGGAAACGTCAGCAAACGATCGGCGAGAAAGTTACGCCAACAAATATTGTGCTCGTAACCCGGCGCATCCACCGGTCGTAACTCTTATCCTGTTTTTTTTTTTAATTTCTCTCTCCAAACTTTTTTTTTATTCCCACCTCCATCCGTTCCACGTAAGCAGCTTAAAATAATTCATGACTATTTTAATGCGCAAAGATTTATCGAGAATTTAATTTCGTTTTATTGCGTCGAGGAGATTTATAGTGTCGACCGAAATATTTGTTGGACATAAACCGCGGATCGTCAAAGTTCTTTTATTTTTATTTTTTTTTATGAATTCCTCCCAAAAGTATAAAACGCATACTACAAAAAATAATAATACATTGGATTCAAAACTGGAGGACACTAATCAAACGTGTAAAATTCTACTTATATTTAATCAAAACAACAACAAACAAACCATATTTTTATCTACGTGTCTATTAATTTCGAGACAATCCTCAAACGAAACCATTTCAAGGATTATTGGTTTTTTAACACTAAACCTACCATGCGCGGTCAAATGAGAGTTTTATAAATTACCTGTATACAACGTTACTGTAAAATCCTGTAATTTGTAAAAAAAAATGCGCTGAAAACGCATAAAATGCACGTTTCTATAGAAAAGAAAATATTTTGTTAACTATCCTAAAATCTCATTTCATCTTATGACCATTGGTAGGAATTGGTATACATGAAATGTCTGTAGTTTAATTGAAAGTGTGTTACTTAATTTTGTTTCTAATAAATTTGACTGCGAAGATCCAATTAGTTTCGCATCGAGTGCTCAAAAATAAGTGAACGGAAATTTCGCAGTTGTTGACCTAAATTAAATTAGATTTCGCTTGAAAATAATTGATGCAGTGCAAATCGATAGGGCCTCGAGTGCGAGAAATACTCGAGATGACAAGAATGGAGCGTAATTCTGTTTCTAGTCGGAAAAAAGTAATTGTATAAAAAAGAGTAGTGGAACGCGTCAAAGGGAAATGAAATCAAAGGAAAGTGAAACGCTTTTAATTGCGTTTCATATTACTTTTTCGGTAATTAAATTTGTAATAAAAAAAAGTATATGAATTTTGTGAATAATTCTTGAAATGGTTCCGATGTGTAAGATTGCTTTACAAACGAGATTGTTGCACTCTAATTTGATTTTTTTTTGAGGGGGTCGGGAAATCTCTTTAATTTAAAGTTATGGTGTCACCTTTATGTTGCCGGTCCGAACCTTCTTAACTGGTTCGGAAGACTGCCGTAGGATACGGCATCTCCTGTATCAGCCGGGCTCAACGTCTGCCATGTAGGTCATCTCCACGGTTTCGCACTTACAGAGCTTCTTTGTTGGACGAGAAAGAAGGCTCAGACGATCTCGTCTCTCGCACTGCGCACACAACATCATCAGCAAACATTACGTAACGATCATCATCGACGATCTTTCATTTTTTTCCACCAAGTTTCGCATTGACTTTCTTCGCGTTTTCCATTTCGAAGTCAATTTTCTTTTGGGTAATTTAGTTTCAACGCGAACGGATAAGGATTCGCCAGAACTCATTAGTGGTTATTTCCAATGAGAAAAAAAAATAACAAAATTGCCAATTTCCATCGCTCAATCTAAAGACCGGAATAAGTTCTAAGTGTAATAATTAAAAAACAACTTCCACGTCTACATTTTAAAATTATAATTAATATTTTGCTCAGAAATAGTTGGGACATTATAAACATTATATTAACCTGATATTACAACCAACACTTCGCTTAGTGGTGGTAATGGTTTCCGGACTGTCTGAATGTCTTGACTTGAATATATGAAAAAACTTCATTAAAATATAGTTTCTTTGGAAATATTGAAACCGGACTATAGTGAATCCGGACTGATCGAAGCGAGATATTTCAGCATATATCACGCTAGATTATACTGTATTAGAGATTACCTTAGGTTAAGAAAAAAAAGCTGAACACTTTAATTTGTCCCAAACATATTAAAGTGTTCAGTATTAGTTATAAAAGATACTACTAATATTGATTTATACAGATACTTCTCGTTTTGGGACGTGATAAGATAAATTATTAAGAAATAATTTGGTATTATAGAGGTTAAAAGTTACCATAATACTATTAGATAATTGTTATTATAGGTAGTTGATTCATACAACTTAGTAAAAATTGAAATTATTCAGAACTAGTTTTCACCACCCTTTTAATTATTTGTTAAGGTTAGGTTTTACTATATTGAAGGTTAACTTGAGTTAAAAATTAGTTCGTGTCAATTCAAAATTTTCAATACTGGGCGATTACATATAAAACGAGTACTGATTAATACACGTTGTACACGTTTGATGCATTAACATTTTAAGTTGTTCATAACTCGTTTGGTGAAATTTTTCAAAATGTTTCTAATTACTCGTTAAGTTTGGATCAAAATATATTGCGAAACTGCTATGTATAAGTATGTTATGACATATTTTGGTAAGTTGATAATATATACATCGATTGATTCATACAGGTAGCACACGTTTCGGAATATACTAACGTCTTAAGTTGTTCATAACTAGTTTTGGGAAATCATTAACCGTCCTTCTCGTTAAAGTTGGATTACAATATATTGCGAAACTGTTGTGTATAATTATGTTATGGCAAATTTCGGTAGCACAAGTGGCGCCTCAACGTTGTGTAAAAGATAGGGCACATATATTCGACACTCGTCCGTAAATGGTTAACTTATGTTCAAAACTAGTTCCGATCAATGCAAAATGTCCAATACTAGTTAAAAATGTATACATTGGGTATTGATTCACTACGTTTTAGGACGTCGCAATAAAACGAAGTAAACGAATTTATCTTTGAGTTACGTTCCATAACAATGTAAAATATGTGACATTATTGTGTACTTATTTACTTGTTTTTCTGTTATTACATGTAAGTGCATTGGACAATAAAAGTGTTATTTTTATTATAAATTACAATTTTACAGTTTTACATTATAAACAACTGAACTAAATAAGTTGTCTTCTCATTGCAGATTCACTTTTTTCTTTTCCTTTCTCATTAATCAATGTGATACAAAAAATAATGCATTATAAATTGGCGTTATTCTGTAAAGATCTAAATTTAATAGAAGAACCATTGAAATCGGTTAGAAAGTTTGTTTTCAGGAAATGACAAACATTTCTTTGTCAATCATTAATCAAGACTTCTTGCGTAAAAATATATTAATTGTAAATTGATGTTGTTTTAGAAGATGCCTAAATTTTAAGACGCAAAGTTGTAATGAACAGACTTAAATCACAAACGGAGAATTATCTGTATAAATCAACAATTTTTATAACATAACTGGAAAAACGTATGTATGTTGAAAGCGCACATTTCACAAAATTTTCTGCAAAGGAAAAATAATAATTGAAAATATACATTCATACGTGGAAATGTGCATTCAAATTGGAACGAAAAGATCAAAGTGAGCATACTTTACGTTATACAGGATGCCACACACCATTTCTCCAGAGAATCACTTATTTTTATGCGGAGAATTGCATCGCTATTAATTAGTTTTCAAACAAAGAAAATTAAAAAAAACTGCATTTAATTTTTTATACTGCAAGATGTAAACGCTTTTAAAGTCCAACTGTTGATAACGTTATACAATTAGGGAAAATACTTTTATTTAGTAACAAATATAGGAAATACGACATAATAAGTAGATATTGAACTGAATTTATTAAATGAAGACTTAATAATAATAAATTGTTAATTAGATGAAAAGAGAAGTATTTTTTTTTACATATTTTGATATTTTTTTAAGTAAAATAGTTAAAAGAAAAGATATTTTTCTAAATAATATTTGTAGCTATAAAAAAGTAAACTAAGATATGAAAATAATGGGAAATAATTACAATATTATTTTATATATGAAAATTGCCTGATAATTTCTTTAACGCTTTGATGTAATCATACTAGTTGAACTATTTCAAGGTCAAAAGTAATATTAATCGAGATTTGCAGATTAGAAGGAAAAGTAATGCCGCTTTGTGCAATAAAACGGGATTACGTTTGCATAAAGGACAGCAAACGAATGAAGTTGCACAACAAAAACACATAACACAGGCTGTATTATATATTATACGTGGAAGAAAGGACAAATAAACGTTGCTTAATATAATTAAAACACGCAACTGTTTAATTACATTAAACCCAGTCAGACATTGCGCAAAATTTACGAAGTGTAGGAGAAAAAAAAGTGAAGATTAACGTGGCAAAATTTGCTTAAAAATTGATCGAAAACATCGACAACTATATTTTTTTCATAAAATGATCTTGTCGAGTGCAGAAAACAAAGTATAGAAAAAGTAAAAGGAAAAGACCTGAGAAGATTGATAGGAGTATAAAAGTAGGAAAGACTGAGAAAGATTGATTTAAATTAAGTTCGAGTCTGTGATTTCCGCCTCAGGGTAGAAATCGGATGGGCTTTGCGCGTTCTTTTTCCACTTGAACGGAAATAAAGAGCTCAACAATTGATTTTTTTTTGCACTAGAAAATTTACTCACTAAATGAAATTGTCGACGTTTTCTTCAAAAATATTTAATAATTTTAGTTTTTTTTTGTGTAAGAAACATAAAGACTTAATATTTTTGTGCGTAAAAGATACAGTTAGAACATATTTATTGAAGCCGAAGGGCATATTTTAAATTGGATCTGCTTTTAGCATCGTGTGTAAAAGAAAAAGAGAACAAATTTCTCAAGTTGAAATTGAGTTTATGTGTGTATTTTTTGCATATATTTAGCTTCGCAAATGTAACGGGACAAGGAAACCTCGTTATAGGTAGACACATCGAAATATGGAAATATTTGAACGTCTGGTAAAGTCATCAATAATACAGGCTTCAATTTCGAGACACGTTTCAGGCCACTCGAAGGATAAACGTGTGTTCGCATTTCACATTTTTTTCTTGTTGTTCTCGTATTGCTTTCTTTCTACGTTCGACAACTAAGTGAATAAAATATGTATTTCGGTACGGATTAAACCAATAAATGCAAAAAAAAAAGAAGGAATAAAAGAAACACGTGAAGATATTACACGGAAAAGGAGAAATCCCATGTTTGCAATTCATTTGAAATTCAGATTCGTTCATGTTACATAACGGAAGCAAATAAGAAAGAAAAAAAATGAGAAAACGTAGGATTTAAAAATAGCTTCACCGGTGGAAAGAGAATTTTTCACTGATTGATGAGAACGGTTTACGTCGCGCGTGTTGAAAATTATATAGAGGTGTATGCATTAATTTGTATATTGGTTGTTATTAAAAAAAAGTTGATTAATAAAAGAACGTTTAATTCATTGGATACGTTGACAGTTATATTGATGTGTAATTTAAGTATTTTTAGAAATAGTTTTTTGGTAATAAAAATAGTTGAGGCGTATTTTAAGTAAGTATAAGAATTCGATGAGAAAGACTATAGTAGCTGAAAATAATGTAATTAGTTATTGTAATGAAAATGGATGAAAGAAGAAAAATAAAAATACACATATTAAGTAAATGTATATAAATATTATTATTTGCTGTTCGAATCCCCAAGAATATGTTGTGAGTAGTAGTTTCGTATGTGTACGTGGGATGAGTTTCGATAGATGAGATGGTTGGTTTATCGTTTATCTATTATGTAATAATGTATAGTTTGCGAGCTCGGGAAGTGCCGGTTGTTTAGCTTACCTGCGTGCATAATTCTCCGGAATGGTGGTTGCAGGTATTTCCTGCGGCAACGGCGGCAGCACACGCAGCTGTTCCTGGCACTTTAAGTTGTTCCTGCTTGTAGTCCGGCTGGTAAGGAAGCAGCATTCTAATTTTACCCCAGCGGTTGAAGAACAAGGCGATGGCCGCGACCCAGACTAATAAAACTATAAGGACTATACCTATCTCTACGCCTCGGACCTACAACATCAAACATAGACAATAAGTGCACTTGAATGTTCCTTACCTTCCAAAGGGATATCAAAGGATAAAAGGTTGACAACTATGACTGCATGTCATTATATTTATATGTGTTACCATAGAAACTAATTAGATGCTCATTCTCTTCAACATCTGTTACCGTTCTGGGGAAGAGTCGGGGAGGTTGATTTGGATTAGTTAAACAAGTATTGCATTAATCAAAGGACAGTGAGTTGATAACTATGACTCCAACCTCTTTGATTCCACGTAAAATTAATATTTTTATATCTGTTTCCATGGAAACCAAAATCAGGCTTTTTACATGAACTTTTCAATGTTCCTTACCTTTCCAGATAGTAGTTGGGGTGGTTAGTTGAAATTAGTTAAAGAAACATTGTAATCCATATAAAGTTAACACAATTGGAACTTCTGTCCTTGATTCTAATATAAGTTGTAATAGAATGTAAAAATAATTGATTCTAACAACGTTGTTGAATTTGTTGACTTTAAAGCTTCTTGATTCCTTGATTCCAATCAGTATTCAAATATTTACTTATGTTGCCATAGATTCCAAAAACAAAACTCTTCTAATGATAGTTTCATCAATATTCCTTATTTTTCAGAAGAAAAGATGGGGTTTCATAATTGGTTCAGCAATTATAATAATCGATCAAAATGAATGGTGACTTGATTCCAAGTTAAACAAATTATTGAATAAGGATATTAATATCTTGAAAGCTTGATCCTTGATTCTAATAAGTATTGTCGTATCTTGTAAATTAAAAACTAGTTCTTGTAATGACAGGTGGTTGGTTAATTGGAACCTGAGTCTCTTCAATGTTCCTTACCTGATTGATCGGTACTGGGTCTACAAAATTGCAATCGATCAAAAGTAACAGGTTGATAATGATTATAAAGATAACTTGAAAACTTCTTCCTTGATGTATTTATATGTGTTGAATTGAAAACCAAAAACAGGCTCTTCTCATGATAGCAACTAGACAGTGTTATGAAGATATTGATAATTATTTTAAAGCTTGTTCCTGGATTCCAATAAATATTTACATGTCTTGCTATATAAATCAAAAACAAACTTTTCCAATAACAGTCTCATCAACGTTACCTTTCGTGGAAAGAATATGTGGTTTCAATAGATGCAATCGATAAAAAATACATTTTAGCATCTAGACAACAAGTATGAAGAAATTGTTGATAATGACTTTAAAGCATGTGCATTGATTCCAATCAGTATTCAAATATTTACATGTGTTGCCATAGAAACCAAAAACAAACTCTTCTAATGACAGTTTCATCGATATTCCCTATATTTCAGGAGAGAAGATGGGGTAATTGGTCTAAACAAATATAGCAAACGATATAAATAAACGGTAGAACAAGGATGATGATTGTGTTGTTAATGACTTGATCCTAGTGTTTATGCAATATACACATATTTATACGTGTTGTCATGGGAATTGGAAAACAGATTGTTTATTTTTTTTCTTAACGTACCTCTAGAGGAGTTGAGAATGTTAAATAAACGTTGCAATCAATCAAAGCTAAACGATACACACTAGACCTGGGTTTCTCAAACTTTTCTTGCACGGAAACACTTAGTAAATTCTGAAATTTTTACGCAACACCATTATTTATTTAGTAGTTGTTTCATTCCAAGTTTTCACTATTAACATAGTTTGGAAAACTTTGCACTAGACAACGAAAGATGTTGATGATTTTAAAGTTTCATCTTTGATTTCAAGCAACATTGATACACGTATTGTTACAGAAACCAAACTTCCAATGACATGGTTATTTTGGTCGTGAGGAATGTGAGTCGGTTATAACAAGGCATCAAGGGGGGGCGGAGAATGGATGGATGAATAAACTGTTATTTGATACGAACCGTGGAACTGGTCTGAGGATATTCCACATCTGGGGGGTCCGAGAACTCTCTGGGTGGCGACTCAGACGTTGCCGACACCCCCATCACATCCTGCTGCGGAGACGTCCTTGGAGGTTCTGCAAAGCCAAATGAATAGTCAATACTAAGTTCTTTCTCAAACACTAAACCCAAAGTTCGCTTCAACGTTCTAATGGAGGAAACACCGCAATTCCTTTCACACAAACGGAAATCCATTCTAATCACATAATCAATATGCACAAAGCCAAACGACTCCTTGCACTAAGAAAATTATTAAAAGTACAGCGCATTACTCCTTTGTATCATCATTAATGTAAAACACATTTAGTATGTATAAATTACAAAAAAAAAGTAATAACATTTTCATTTTATACTTGTTACCAAATCTTAAACGTTCTTCAAATACGATTTATAACAATTTCCACAAGCAACAAATCTTTAAAATAAATCAAATAGAGTTTTCATTTCGTGCTGCCATCAGAACTGAATCTTATTAACTGTTATTTTATAGCCTTTCTGAAAACTCATTTCATTCAATTAGCTAAAACATTTAACATTCTAACAATGTGCGTTTTTGGACTGTCTGAGCTCAATTCCTGCTGTTGCTCAGTTCTTTTTTTTTAATGATTCATATTCGAGCAGGTGGTGGTAGTTTAATCACGTGTACAGTCTGTACATTTCGAATATAGTATGCATTACGTTATGTAACACGTAGGCCAGTATTGATCAACGTAATTGTTTGAATGGAGTCGTGATCGATCTGCGGTGAAAAAGTTTACTGCTTCATTGGGAAATTGGTTTACAACGAAACCGGCCGCCGACGGGTGGGCTCCTTTCATTACTCCTACTGTTTATTTACTTTTTTCTTTCTTCTCTTCTTTTATTTATTTATTTTTTTGTTTTCGCTTGTCTTCCACGTATTTGCCTCCGGTAATTTCTCCATTATCGTTATGTTATTTCCAGAATGTATTATTTTATATCGTTCTGGAACGCACAAGACAGTATCAATAAAAAAATAAACAACAACTGTTTCGTGGAAAATGAATGGAATTACAGAAACGATTCAAATTATAAAAAAGGGTGTTATTAGTAGTTATATAATATTATTGATTAAAGGATCCCTTTGTGTTTGGTATAATGATAGTTTTCAAATCCCGTGTCAGATCCCAAACATAAAATTATTACTTATAACAAATACTAATATTTTACTGATATCTCTTTGTATTATTATACAATGGAACCTCGATTCTCGAATACCTCAGTTTTCGAATATAAATCTTATATAAAAACTTTGATATTTCCAATTCCGGGATAATTTCGATTTTTCAATAAATTCGGTTTACAAACAGCATTAAAAATTATATTCATAAAACGAGTTTCTATATTATGGATTTACATTAAATATAAAAAAATATTGATTTGATCTTTTTTGTTGATGAAACTGTCAAGTATTCAGTAATAACGGCGAGGACGTGTTGAGTTTTCCTGGAAAAGAATAGTGATTCAATTTAAAAGTTTACGAAGTAACTTGAAGCCGAGTCTTCTCGAGCAAATATGGCCATAAATATTGTAAGAATATGTATGTAATAATGACCATAAATTTTTCCGTCGTGAGTACTCAAATAAAACGATAAACTTTTGATATATTCATAATGTTTTACATACGGATTTTTTTTTACCTGAAAACACTTTTCACTCAGTATTATTGTTTTAATAACGTTTGATTTTTAATGTTTTATATAATTTATTTATAATATTTCCAAATTTTTCAACAATTTTTTCATCATAATTTATTTTAGTTTGGTTTTTAAAGCCTTACTTTTTTTTTGTCAACAATTGTTTTTATAATTTTGTTTATTCCAATTAATAACGTTACAATAATTATTAAGTTTGTATAATTTAAATATATTAAAATAATTTCATACTTTATACAAATTATTAATTAATTTTCATCGTGAAATTTGTAAGTAAGTCGGACGAAAGTTCTGCTATATTCGTTCGGTTATCAAAGTTTCGCACGAATTGGATGTTAACTGTGTTTCTGTTTGGTTGGGTCCTATAATACTTGAAGTATTGTTCGTGCGAATTTACTCAAGTTCACGTGAGATTTCTATTGGAGTTCGCGAAGTTGACGTCTTGCCGGAGCTGCAGAATATTAATTTTCTATGCATCCGCTGTAAGGAAAGTTCTCCAAATAGATTAAATCCACATCCACGCCAATTATCGCAACGTAAATAAATAAATAAGATTGAAAGCTTAATTATAGTATTGCATAATTGTGATGAGAGTAACTACGCTACTTTTTACAAGTAATTGCTTGTCAAGTAAATGTGTTTGGAATTTTTGAAAAGTAGTTTGTTTTCATTCGAATCGAAACACACTACTTTTCACTTGACAAGTATTTATTTGTCAAGTAAATGTATTTGGAATCTATGACATTTAGTATGTTTGAATTGAAATTAGAGAATAAATATAATGAATTTATATAAAAATAGTAACACACTACATTACACTTAACAAGTAATATTTAGTCAAGTAAATTTATGTTGAATCTTTGAAAAGTACAATATTTCAGTTTTAATTTGAGATTAAATATGATGAATTTATATGAAGATGTTCTCAAACTACGTTATACTTGACAAGTAAGTATATTTGGAATTTTTAATAAGTAGTATGTTTGAAGTAGATTTATAGAACAAATATAATGATTTTGTTGTATATATAGCAACTCATTACGTTACACTTGACAAGTTTAACTTTGTCAAATGTATGTTAAATCTTTGAAAAGTCGAATATTTGAGTTTGAATTTGAGTTATCATATGATGAATTTATATGGAGATATTCACAAACAACGCTATACTGGAATTAGAGAAGACATTTAATGAATTTATATTGAGTAAGAAAAACACTACGTTTCACTTGACAAGTAATTATTTGTCACGAAAATATATTTAGAATCTTTGATTTTGTTTGAAGTAGATTTACAGAACAAATATAATGATTTTATATAGAGATAGCAACACATTACTTTACACAACACAAGTTTTACTGTCAAGTAAATGTAAGTTGAATCTTTGAAAAGTCGAATATTTGAGTGGAAATTTGAGATAAAATATAATGAAATTACATAACGAATGTTCACAAAGTACGTTATACTTGACAAGTAATAATTTGTTAAGTAAATATATTTGGAATATTTGGAAATTAGAGAAGTTAGAGAACAAATATAATGAATTTACATGGAGATAGCAACACACAACTTTACACTAGAGAAGTAATATTTAGTCAAGTAAATGTATGTTCAATTGTTGAAAAGTAGAATATTTGAGTTCGAGTTTGAGATAAAATATGATGCATTTACATTGAGATGTTCCAATACTACGTTATATTTGAAAAGTAATAGTTTATTAAGTAAATATATTTTGAATCTTTGGTTTGAATCGGAATTAGATATCAAATAAAATGAATTTATATTTTCGCTATACTTGACAAGTATTACTTTGTGAAGTAAATGTATTTGGAATCTGTGGAATATTCTATGCTTGAGTGTAAATTAGAGATTAAATATAACTAATTTACATGGAAATGACAACACAATACTCTCTACTTGACAAGTAATTACTTGCCAAATACATTTATTTAGAATCTATTAAAAATAATACAAAAATAAATACAATTGTAGACATCTTTTTCACTGTGAGAAAATCTGAATTATTTGTTGGATTTTGATCAAACTTTTATTACTTTATCTTTTCTAATTAACGTCCAGATTAAATAGACTCAATCTGATATTTAAAATTTACAAATAAAAACACTGGAGTTTTATCTCCAATTAAAAAGTTAGGTCGAGATATTACATTTTCCACCCTCGAATACTTTTTTCTACACTTTTTTAAATAGTTAATTATTTTGGTTGAGAGACTGATTAATATTTATTTAAGTTCTTGAAAAGTTTTCATAGAATTTATCGTCAGCAATTTTTAGCTTGATTAAAAAAAAACAATAGGAAAACCAATTTCTTTACAGAACTGACTGTGATTAGAATTAGTAAATATATTTAGGTTGAATACTGATTTAGTCCATAATAATCGTTGTTCATTTTGTTTAAAGTAAGTAATATTGGGATAGCTTAAGTATTTTAGTGTAGATTAACTCTTTCTTACTTTGTTTTCTATACAATTATTTAATACATATTAAATAAGTTTAGATAAAGTAATGTCTTTAAGCTAAACTGATTTATTTTCTATGCAGTTAATTTGTGAATTATCCAAGTTTATACTTTATCCGAAGAATATATATCTGGGAAATGTGATTAAGGTTAAACTAATTATTCCCCGCAAACTTCTTCTATATGAATTTAACCCAGATCCTCGCTGAGGAAGTGTAAGAAAAAGGAAAGTTTGTAATTGGCGGAGCGTGTCCGGACAAGTTCATCCCGAATACGCTTAATCCAATCCGGATAATTGGTCTGCATAGTTCTTTATAACTGGACTTTTAGCTCAGTTTTCTTATCTCGAGAGTATTAAGATCAAATCAAACGTTATTTAATTTTGGATTTATCAGTATAAAAATGAGAATGATGATACGATGCAATTTTATGTAGGTTTTAAATATTTCAGAAATTATTGCGTGAATATTTAATACAATTTTTTACAGTAAAATTTGTTTTTCTGTACTTTTTATGGATGCTAAAGTTAGATGATCAATGTAAAAGTTAATGTTGAAGGCGGTTAAGAAGAAGAATTAGAAAGAAAGGTGTATGTATAAAATATATTAAAAGTAGTAAATCTTACCCAGGGTTCGGAAGACAATCGGTCTACTTCTATATTTCCTGCCGCCCCAGACAGCGGCCACCGTTAATTGGTATTGGGTGTCAGCCTTGAGGCCGCTGAGTGTCACTGCATCCGAGTTGCCAGCCACCACCGCCACCACTCTGTAACTAACAATCTAGTTTATTCTAGCTACACCTTGTGCATTCTAGCTACTACCACCAAAATCTAAGTGTAAAACAGTTATCCTACAAATACAAATATATGGACAGAAAGTAAATCCACCTTTTCAACAAGTTGGAAATACTTCAAACAAAATCCAAATGCACCTAGGAACAACTACATTAAAACATCGAAATTAAAAACTGGATCCAAAGTATAACCATACTTCAATCCTGATCCAAATACTCATAGGAATAACACCTACACCCACAAACAATTCAGACCTAAAGCATATCCATCTTTAGTTAGGTTTTTATAGTTATTTTGGAATTCAATATTTCCTGATACAGATATTTCTTACAACAACTACATGAAGAACACAGAAGAACACATTGACACATTTAGACCGAAAGTATATCCATCCTTTGCAGAGTTTCCTAATCTAAATATTTCTTTAAAAATACTATGTCCATACTTTGCATTTACATATTTTTAAGAGTTATTATGTGAAAACATTAAAAAAAAACTAGTCTCAAACTATATCCATTTTTTGGAATGAGGTTTTGGATTTACTTTACAAATATTTATATGAAGAACTATATGAAAAAATTGGGTATAAAATATGTCCATTCTTTGCAAATTAGATATATGTTAGAAAATCTTCAGCCCTAATACAAATATTAGTAAAAAAATATTTTTTGGAATGTTGTTTACTTGGATTTACTTAACTTATACAAATATTTCTAGAAACTATATGAAAATAAATTATACTTTTCTTTTACAATTAAATTCGAAATACTTCGGTTCTAATCAACACAATTTTAATAACAACTATATAAAAACATTGAAAAAACTATTCTAAGAGCAATGCCAGATTTTTGTAACGTTTTCAATTTGCCGTTTTAATAATATTTAAGTCCTAATTCAAAAGAAACTCGACTTTATCTTTTGTAATGTGAACAGCAAGTTGAAAATATTAAAATCGTGAAATACTTCTAAGGAAACAGATAAAAACTGGACCTAACGTGAATCCAACATAAGATGGATTTTTGTAACAGAAACACAATCAACTCTAACGTTTTGTCCTACGACCTCAATTCATAATCTCTCTCAACTTCCACAAATTATTGCTTTATTTAAAAAAATTATTATTTTTTTTAATAAAGTACACAAGTCTGTTATATCTTTTTTTGTATGAAATTCAACTTACGACCAGTAGATCCATAGATACAATTTTAAATGTACATCTTATAAAACGGAAGCATAAATCCTTTAACATCGCGATCAAAGTAGCTTCCTCGAAGCGCAATGGACGCGATCACGCTAATGCGATTAGATTTCATTTACCGAAGCAAATACAAATCTTCACTAACCGGTTTAATGCACGCCATGATCGAATTAGTGCCTAATTAATTATCCGCTAATTATTATTTAATCTAAGCGATGATTCACACAACCATTGAAATTATTGTTTCTTTAATTGAAATCTTTTTAGAGATTTTGCGTTCATTGCATGTTTTTTTTTATAGAAAAAAATTATTCAATTGAGCTTTTATTCATTAATTGGGAGAATCTTCCAGGTTTTATATACTTTAAATGTTCTTTTATGTACGAAACGGAGAGATTTAATTCATTCAATTTATTCCCATTTCTTTCATTGAAAATAAATTCCAGGTTTTATGGTCATTTAACAGTTTTTGTTATCAGACATTCAAGAGATTCAATTCATTTGATTATGTTTTTTAAGTGTATTTTTTTATATATATGAAAGTCCACAATTTTCGATTCTTTATTTTTAGAGCATCTTCCAAATACTTTTTTTTATGTTTCTTTAAATTCAAAATATCTTTCATATTTTACTGCTAATTTTTTCTATAAACAAACGTCAGACAAGAAGAGATTCAATTAATACTTGTTTCTTTAAACTAAGAGAACCTTCCAGATTTTACTAATGTTAAATGCATTTTTTATATTAATAAAGATTCAATTTATACTTAATTCTTTAAATTCAGAAAATCTTTCTGTAAATGAACAGTAAGACAAGAAGAGATTCAATTAATTCTTGTTTCTTTAAATTAATAGAATATTCAAGATTTTACTGATCTTAAATGCATTTCTTAAATTCAGTAATTCTTTCAGATTCTACGGACCTTAAATACTTTTATTTTTATTATAAACAAACAGTTCTGACAAGAAAATAATCAATTAATGCTTGTTTCTTAAAATTATGATAATTTTCTAAATTTTATTGACTTAAAACGCATTTTAATATACAAAAGGTTAAGCAAGAAAAGATTTATATTTGTTTATTTAAATTAAAAATAAATCAGATTCTACAGGCGTGACTTTTCTTTAAAAACGAAGAGTCCTGATTCCTTTTTCTCTAAATTGAAATTCTTCCACGTTTTACTCGCGTTAAATAATTTTTTTTATAAACGAACTGATGAGTGATTCAATTCATTCTTGTATCTTTAAATTGAGAAAATCTTCACAGATTTTATGAGTATTAAATGCTTTTTTTTACAAAAGTAGCACGTTAAGCTTGCTTTTTAAAGGCCTGTACGTTTTTACGGTCGAGCATAAATTTCTTTACTGTCTGAATATAATTACTTCTTCAAGCGTCCAACTTTAATAAAGATGGAACATTTATTGCCCGCGTAATTTCCTTTTCTGCTCCGGAATTTACGTAATCACCCATAAACTGCACCGAAAAAAAAAACAGAAACGAAACAATCTCGTGAAGTGCAGAAGGGTTGACTATCATTCTATTAAATGATACAAACATAAACTGAAAGTTATGAACATAAATAAAATATTGTACAACATAACACAAGTTGTAAATACACAAATACCTCGTATAGTGCGGATAATCGGTTCATGGACTGTTTGAAAACGGACTAATCGAAAGCAAAATATATACACAAATAAACCGCACAGAAAGAGACTGGGCTGTATAGAGGAGTGTTTCATAACGTGGGGCCCACGGTCCACAGGGGACAATTTTATTATTAAGGAGGGCAATTAGAAAATGGACACATCTAGAGTTTAATCGTATGGCGTATTATGTATATGTTAGATAGGGGACACAATAATTTTAGATAGGATTTGGTGGAGCATGACACAAAAAAGGTTGGGAAACACTGATAATTTTGTATACTAAGCTTTTTAGAATTTATTTTTACTTTGTTCTATTAAAATTGTTTTTGTATTGAAATCTTTAAACAGGACTATAGTGAATCCGCACTGATCGAAGCTGGACTATGCGATACATCCGGACTGATCGAAGACTATTAGAAGATGGACTATGCGAGGTATTTGTGTATAATTTGATGCAGAAACTAAGATTATTGACGTCGTAAAGCACCGTGCCTTTGAAACTAAAAGATTATTGTAAAAGCTTTACCGTGTATTTATACAGCACTTGAAGCTAAGCACTTGATTCTTCGCTTTTCGATTCAATCACTTGGATTTATTCTGGTTTTATCAGAGGGATAAGAAACACCAAAAAAAAGGAAACTATTTTTCTTCGCGTATGTGAATTGTCTGATGGCGGTTTATGCACTAGTTCAAATGCATGTGGGTTTTCTCCTTTATTCCAAGCGAAACCCAACCCTGCAATCATACACTCATCTATTATCAATATCAACTGAAGTCGCCTGTACACGTTGTGATGTATCCAGGTCACGAAACTATCGATGTCCATAAATGGCTTCGATTATCCGACATTATTCGGATGCATTGAATCGTCGGAAAAGCGCGCATATCTGGATTGACCCAATGCCAAAAGATTTTTACAAATACTTTTAATTAATTAATAAAAAAAATGGTAATTGGATTATATAGATTATTTTATTTAATTACTGAATGATTTAAATTCATAAATGATGAAAATGATGAAAATGAATGTGGTGTAAATATTTTATTATCAAGTTTTAGCCTTGTATTTTCGCTTCCCTTTTAGTTATTGACAAGAAAATTATAGGAAGAGGTAAAAATTTATAATAGATTTAGAAGGTAGATCAATTTAGTTGAATAAATCAAGATTAGCAAGGAATAACGTAAAATGTTATTAGCAAATTGCAGCACATAAATATTTCTTATAAATAAAAATACAGTAAAATATTATAAATATATTAGTATAAAGTCTGAACTTATTAAGTATATTTAGTAAAGTCTATCATTTCACAAATATTTTTATTTTAGTTTAAAGTTTAAACTTCGCTTCTTCTTTACAAATCTAGAAAAGAAATACAATTAATTTAAATGAAAAGTTTATTTAGTAAAGTCAATAAAATCTAGTAGATTTAATTTTCAAAAGCAATAAAGTATTGATTTTTATCGTCTCTTCTAGAAAAGCCTTGAAAACTAATTATATTAATTGGAAACAAAGGTAATTATATATTTAGTAAAGTTTACAAAATCTACTAATTTTTATTCTTCTTCAATTTTTTAAAAGTCTCTTGTATACAACATTTAAAGAAGACAAAATTGGAACAATTGATTTAACAAGTAAGTACTCTGTAAAATAAGGTAGACTTAATTTTGTACAACTTTAAAAACGACTTCAGTAAATATTTTAGTATAAAGTTTGAGCATCAACTCTTCAATATAAGCTTTAACAATGAGTATATTTAATTTTGCTTAATATTTCAATAAATAATTTAGTATAAAGTATTTTAAATAAAGATATTCGACACTTCTATACAAGGTTTAAAACAAATTGAAAATAATTTGCAAATAATTTAAACAAGTAAATATATTTAAGAAAGTCATTAAAATCTAGTAGAATTAATTTTGTTCAACTTTCAAAAACATTTCTATAAACATTTTTGTATATCAAAGCTCACTATAAGTTTTATAAGGTAGTAGAGTCAAGAAAATCTGTTAGATTTCAAGTTGTTTAGCTTTAAAATCGATATTCAAGTTAAATTCTCATATTTTATATTTACTATTTAATAATGTGTTAATTATTGAATTGAATCATTACCTCGCATAATTCGAGTAATGC